GGAGACTCCATATTACATCACCTCCACTGAACCCAGACCCTGATTTCATGGGTGGGCGCTCTACTGCACCCTTGCACATCTTAACTGAGATTTGTCACTGAGGGTAGTATCAGAAAATGGCTACAAAGCATCTATTAGAATGCCTGAGATGTTAAATTCACTCTGCAGAGTATGCCTGAGATATTGGGCAGCATGATGTGTGGGAAATAATCAAAACACAGCATTATTTCTGTCCACTATTCAGATGTTTCTCCTGTCACTAGATGAAAACTAAGCAGAACCCATGGCTCACTCTTGGGTGAATGTCCCATAGTCATTTTCTTTTTGTTATTGTTTTTTGGTGTTTTTTTTTAATTGAAGTATAGTCAGTTTACAATGTGTCAGTTTCTGGTATTCAGCATAATATTTCAGGCATACATATACAAACATACATATATTCCTTTTCATTACAGCTTACTACAAGATATTGAATATAGTTCCCTGTGCTACGCAGAAGAAACCTGTTGTTTATCTATTTTATATACAGTAGTTAGTATCTGCAAATCTCTAACTCCCAATTTATCCCTTCCCACCCACTTCCCCCCGATAACCATTAGTTTGTTTTCTGTGTCTGTGCCAGAGTCACTTTAAGTCGAAAAATACAGTCCTGATTCAAAATTAAATTGTCCAGTTCCAAGAGATTGATCAACTCTTCCCTCTTTATTCAAAAGATGACATTTCCTTCATCCCCTAGATGCCTACACCATCAGAGTCCACAAGTGGAAGGGAAAAGGTGCGGAGAAATAAAGGGGATGACAGCAGGGTTCCCATTAGACTGCTGACTGACACCCTAGTAAACCTGGCAGGTGCTTAATGCCAATTCTTGCCTTCTTATCAGTTTTGTTCTCTGGACTGTTCCTAGAAAAAGTCCCCTGATAGGGACCATACACATTTTCCTTTAGCTACTTCTCTTCCACCTTTCAGTTTCCCATTTATTGCTGTTCCACCCCACTGTTTTGGGTGGAGCCCAAACCTCTGGCAGGAGCCCTGTTGGGCAAAAATCCTTAGGCAGGATGATTTTGAAAATGACCCCATGCCACTAGCCAATGATTTCTTAAATACGGCACATAAAAGATTGATAGATAGTATTTCATTAGGACCTTCTGGAAAGCTGGAAGGAAGGTCGCTTTCCCTTTAACCACAAGAGAAAAACTGAATAGCCTGCAACATCAAAATTTTCTTGAACCCATCCTAGAGCAGAGGTCACAGGGCAATAAACTAGCCTGAGATTTAAAGAAAGGTCGATGCCTCTAAGAAGAGGGGCAACGTGAGAATTGGCTTACCAGAGGCAGAGCCCCTGGGAAAGATTAGGCCATTATAGAAGGGGAAAGAAGGTTGCAGGTAAAACTTTGTGATGATGTGATAGTTACATTTTAACAATTTGCCGCTGCAGCAGAGTGTGAGCTTATGAGTAGAACTCCTGGAAGCCACAGATGCAAGGGGAATTCGCTTTTCTCCACAAACCTCACTGAATGCTCCTAAGAAAGATTGAGGTCAGGGTAGGCGAGCAGAGGAAGCCTCCTATGGTTGTGCAAGTCTAGGGGAGAGGAACAAAGCCCTACAGAACAAAAGCCACTGTGGGCAGGGAGGGATGCAGAGCAGCAAATCCACCAGAACTAAGCGTAGACCCTTTACCGCTGGGGAAAGGGAGCAAAGAAAGCCTCTCCTGGGGAAAGAGCAGGGAGTTCTCTCCCTCACAAGAAACACCAGGACCTGAGAGTTTGGAGTTTGTCTGCTATGGGGAGGAGGGCACAGTCACTGGGTAGGTTCTAGCCTCAAGACCCAGGGACATAAGTCCTGCCTGAGCCTGAGGCTGCCCCAGGAAGGCAGAATGCTTCTTCCCCTGCCAGGCTAGCAAGTGGCTAGTAAAAACCTATGCAGGGAGAGCGGCAAGTTTCTCTCTGGGGCATAGGCTCCCAGAGAAAGCCTCAAGCCTATCCTGCCAGAAGCAAAGTCACACTAAATGCCAAAACTGGTGAATGGATGGACTGTGATAAATCCATATCATGGAATACTACTCACCAATAAAAAGAACAAACCACTGATCTATACAACAACACAGCTAGGTCTCAAAGGTGTTATTCTACGTGAAAAAAGCCAGACTCTAAAGAGCACATATGACATGGTTACATTTAAATGGCATTCTAGAACAGGCAAAATATAGGGACAGAGATCAGCACTTGCCAAAGGCTGAAGGTGGGTGAGGTGTTGACTACAAAGAGGCCTGAAGGATTGTTGAAGGTGACAGACCAGTTCTATATCCTGATTATGGTGGTGGTTACATGTCAGGCATTTGTCAAAACTCACAGAACTGTACACTAAAAAAAGGTGATTTCACTGTATATAACTTATATCTCCAAGACATTTAAAAATTTAAAAAAAACAGAATTGCATTAAAATTAAGAAGTTTTGTTCATCAAAAAACAGCATTAAGAGAGTGAAGAGACAAGTTACAGACTAGGGGAAAAGTGTAACTTGTATATAGAAAATATAAAGAACATACAAATGAAT